GGAGTGTGGTCAGGAAGAGAAACATCGAGCAAAGGATTGAGGTGAGATGAGGGTCACAGGGAAAGGGACCTTCTTAAACCCTTTGTGGCCTCTTAGGCCTTCTCACAGGAGGGCTGGTGCCGCTCAGCTTCACTGGGCTACACCAGGGGGCTGTGCATTTTCCCCAGAGTCACAGCTCAGCCTGAGGAATTTAGCAACACAGGTTTGAAACAGCAGAAAACCCAACCAAGACACATACAAAAAACTTCAAGGTCGGGTGAAGAGATTATTAAAAGTTGGCAAGACCTTTGTGTGTTTTAATGAGTGAATACCGATAGAGAAATTGTCAAACAGCTTTGGTTGGATTTGCCTGAGGGTGGCTTGTGGTTCGTCCCCACCAGAGTCTCCTCGGGAGGAAGAAGATGTCTTCCCACAACCAGCAGGATCCACTGATACCATGTAAGATGCCCTGAGTGGTGAGGAGCTGGGAGGAGGGCCCCTGACAATCTCACAGCCCATTGTGCCCAGGAAGGCTCATCCAGGTAGAGAGGTCCTGCCCTTGGGACCTGGTGGGGGACTACAGGCCTTGGCACAATGGCACCCTGGGTCTCAGGCCACCAAGACCCACAGTCCTGAGGAGGCTCACAGAGGTGCAGTGGGATTTTTTCATTTCAAGGGCCTGATCCCTCGCCATACATGGTCAGAATGGACAGTTCATGGGCATGGGTTTCTTTTTTATTTTGGAAAATGTGTCCAGGAACTTACTTCCCTCCATAGGGACTGGGAAGGAAGAAGAGCTGTGTAGAGGGCAGAGGGTGAGGGTCCCACTGGGGAGAGGGGGGCTGTGCCCTGCTGTGGCTGTGGGTGAAGCCACAGAAGTGCTGGGGAGTCTGAGCTGGCGGCATGCCCTGGCCTGTGGGCAGATATTTGGCTTTGAGACTTGTAGGAGAACGCTCAGTAATAGTATGTAAATTAAAATAAACAGGCAAACTCCTGGAGTGTGATACTTGTTTAAAAATAAAGTCAAAAAAGAATAAAGAGATTGTGATCCAGAAAACAAAAACCCAGCAGCAACAGGTCCTCACAGGACACGGGGAGGAGTCATCGCACTGCAGAGGCACAGGGCTGCCCCCTCTGAGAGAGGGCATAGATCTGCTCTAGGAGGCCCTTCCTGTCCCTTGGATTCCATGCAGATCTGCCCCAGCACCACCACTCGCCTCCTCCGGGGCTGGCAGGACCGAAAGCAGCCTCTACTGTCAGACAGACTGGAAGCTCCAGCACCCAGTGGAGTGGACTATGTGTGTACCATTCTGCCTGCCGGCTCCGAAGGCGTGGGGAGAAGGGGTGGTGGCCAGAGCTGGTCTCAATGCCGCCCCTGCAGATCCCCAGCCTGCAGCTGCGGACAGGACTAGGACCTCGTCCCACCGTGAGCCTGGACGCGGAGGTCGCGCATATTAACGCGCCCAATGGAAAGATGAAGGAGACCCAACTTAGGTACAGTTAAAGCAATGGTAACCCCAGAGGTGCCATAGTGGGGAGTTGGGGGGCCTAGTTATTGATGGTTATCATTCTTTGTGTGTGTGTGTGTGTGTGTGTGTGTGTGTGTGTGAGGAAGATTAGCCCTGAACTAACATCTGTTGCCAATCTTCCTCTTTTTGCTGAGGAAGATTGGCGGGGCTAACATCCATGCTCATCTTCCTGGTCTTTATATGGGACACCGCCATAGCATGGCTTGTTAAGTGGCGCGCAGGTTGGCGCCCAGGACCCGAACCTGCGAACCCCGGGGCCGCTAAAGCGGAGAGAGCAAACTTAACCGCTCGCCGCCACCGGGCTTGCCCCGATATGGAATCGTTTTTAAGGGATGGTGATCCCCTGCGAAGAGTTCAAAGCATAGGAAGCCGCTTTTGTCAAAGAGGCTTTGTTTTGCTCTCCACGGAGATGGCACCCGGAGGTGGGACGCAGGAGTCAGGCCTCCGCCCCCAGCCCGGCACGCCGGTCGTGTGCCCTCTGGCGGCTCAGGGCGGCGCCCGAGGCGCTCCGGCTGGGTCCCTTGGGCGCGCCAGGCTGCCCCGGTCAGGGCGGGGCGGGCGGTGTCCCGGGCTCCTCCCTTCTGGGCACCGGGCGGCTCCGCTCTTAACCCGCCCGCGGGTGTGCGCCGGGGCCACTGGGCTCCGCTGAGCAAGCGAGCGGTCAGCGTGGACCTTGAGCCGCTCCCGTCCTGTCCTGAGGCTGACGCCAGCATGCCGCCATGGACGACAGCCCCCTGCCCAGCGGCCTCAAAGTCTTCACTACCTGCCCTGAACTACTCTTCATCTGGGAGCTTGTGAGTGGCTGGCGCGCTGAGCCGGGGCGGGGGCGGGATGCGCTGTGCTGCGCGCTGTCACCCGGCTCCGCACAGCTGATGCGACCAGATCCACAAGTTGCGCTGGTCCCGGGGGCATCGGGATAGCGGGGCCAGGGAGAGGAAAGCGGAAAGTCTCCCCGCCACCCCAGTCGTTTGGCCCCTTCTAGACCAACGACAATGAGGGAAACAGTCTCCAGAACTCAGTGGAAGAACCAAATACGCAGCATGGGTCAGATGTTGGAAGCGGGTCAGGGTCCATCTGTTGCGCTGGTTCCAAAGCTGCGCTCCGACCCGCTTCCCATGGGCCACGCAGAGGAAGCTCTTATAGAGAGGGATGTTCTTACAGAGGTGCCCAGCTTTGTCCAGGGGTAGGATTTCGTTTACAAAAATCAGCCAAAGTAACCTCAGTATCACCAACCGAGGTTTGGGGATATGGTTGGTGTAGGAGGAACTGACTCCAAAGAATTCTCTTCTGGCCTTTTAAAGTTTCTGGTGAGAGAATGTATTTGCGACAGCTTTGATCTGGAAATAATAAAACAGGCCATCGTTTGCTCTGCCATAGTCATTCTGCCCTGTGTATGGAGTAGGGGGAGGGGAGGGAGGGGTCTTGCGCCAGGGGTCCTGTGCCTTGGCTGGTCTTGAGCAGTCCCAAGGCCTCTGTATCTGTGGTTGGCCCCTCCTGAGGCTGGAGCCCCAAAGCTCCACTGGTGGCTGCAGGAAAGTACTTCCTACCCTGGGCTCTTGGTAAAGTGCTCACCTTGTCCTAAAGCTTCAGACTACCCTCAGCGTAAACCCTCCAGGGGCCACAGGCCCTTACCTGGGAGGGGGCATGCCGTGTGTATTCTGTGGTTGGAAAAGAGTATGTCCAAACCTGACTGTTTAAACTCAGGACCCCAGCTTCTTACTGCCTGACGGTGGCAGGAGGGTGTGAACAGCTGAGGGAGCAGGTTCTGCCACCCGTGGAGGGGTTGGGGCAAAGGGCTAAGGGGACCCAGGTTGCCTGGTGGCACCTTATCACTGCATTTGTGAGCGTTGAGTTGAGCTCACACCTGTATGTATCCAGAGTGACTTCAAATCCTGGGGCTAGTCAGAATCAAGGAAGTGACATCTAGAAGAAACCTTGGACACCACTATGCCCACCACCATTTCTAGATAGGGACAGCCAGGCCCAGAGTGGGGAGGGTCTTACACCTACTACGACATTCTTTCCCCAAATGGCTCCTCTGGGTGCGTCTATTCAGCACTTGGCCTGTGCTTGTCCAAGGCTGATTTCTGAAGATGATCACACAGTGCCCATGACCCGGGAATAAGTAGTGGGTGTTCCTTCAGATGCCACTGTATTTACAAAGGCAGAGTTTCATGACCAAAAGAGATGATGGCTGATGGTGAGGTGTGATGGGACAGAGAGATTTTGAAGCAACAAAAGGTATTCCTAGTGTCTCTTCAGTTGCCCTAATGAGTGGCTTCCTCTGCCTTTGTAGCTGTTCGGGGAGCATTGTGACAAGAATCACGAGAGAGGGTGGTAGCTGGGCTTCATGCAAAAGACTCAGGGGCACCTCCTTCTCCTGCCCTCACAAGAGCTGGCTCAGGTGGCGGCAGGTGGTGGCAGGTGTGGGGGACTTGACTTCACAGAGGGGACAGCCTCCCAGTGCCCGCTGACTCCTCTTGGTACCCCAGCCTAGGGGAAGGAGTGCCCCTGGGGGTAGGAACAGCCCAGGCAGGCAGGGTGATCTGTGGGGAAGAGGATGGGAGGATCACCCCACCCTACCAAGTGAAAGGAGAGAGCAGGGGTGTAGGAAATCTCAGAGCTGTGGAGTAGTGGAAACTTACTCCTCCAGGGCGGTTTGGTGACCTGTGATAGTAGGGGCTTCTAGAGGAAATAATTCTCCCTTGCCCAGACCACTTCCCTCTCAGCTGTCTTAGAAGTTGTTTTTTCTCCTCCCGCTCAGCCCCTCTCCCCCAAAGCCAACCCGCCTCCCACTTCCTGAGAGGCTCTGGGTGCCTCAGTTGTCACCTCCAACCTCTTTCTTCCTCTCTAGATTGGGGATGGGTCCCAGGGTGCCTGGGAGAACAGGAAAGAAAGCAGACACCAGTCCTTAAGTTTTCCTAGGCACACTTTGTACACAGGAAGCTGGATGTGCTTTGGTGTGTGAAAGAGCAGAGACTTGAAGGGCCCGAGGAGGCACTGGCCACCCTGGGAGAGTTTTTTTGAATTATGGACTATTACCACACAACAACAGAAAGATAAACAAGCCACTTAGAAAATTGGCGAAGGACTTCAATAGACATTTCTCTAAGGAAGATGTATGAATGACCAATAAGCATGTGAAAAGATGCTCAGATCATTAGTCAGGAGGAAAATGAAATTAAAACCACAATGTGGTACCATTTCACATGAAACTAGGATGACTATTATCAAAAAACTGGAAAATAGCAAGTATGGGCCAGGATGTGAAGAAATTGGGGGCTTCATACATGCTGGTGGGAATGTAAAATGGTTCTCTGCCGTTGAAAACAGTTTGGTGGTTCCTCAAAAAAAATTATCATATGACTTAGCAATTCCACACCTGGGTTTATAACCAAAAGAATTGAAGGCAGGGACCTGAATAGGTACATGTACACGCGTGTTCATAGCAGCACTGTTCACAATTACCAACAGGTGGAACAGCCGAAATGTCCCATCAACGGAGGAATGGACAAACTGTGATATATTCACACAGTGGAGTATTATTCAGCCGTAGAAAGGGATGAAGTATGGAGACAGACCACAAAGTTGAAAACACCGTGCTGAGTAAAAGAAACAACACATAAAGGTCCCATATTTTATGGTTCTATTTATATAAAACATCCAGAATAGGTAAATCCGTAGAGACAGAACACAAACTGGTGGTTAGCGAGGGGCTGAGAGGAGGGGGAAACAGGGAGCAACTGCTTAATGGGTACGGGGTTTCCTTTTGGGGCGATGAAAATGTTTTGGAATTAGATAGAGGTGGTTGGTGCACAACATCGTGAATGTATTAAATACCATTGAAATGGTCGAGTTAAAATGGTTAGTTTTATGTTATGCAAAATTCAATTTTTAAAAAACAAAAATTAAGAAATATTTCAAATATTACGGAAAAGTATATATAATACTTTAATAGGCACCCACGTAATTATGACTCAACTTTGTCAAATCTTAGTATTTTGCCTTATTTACTTTCAGTATTAAGGAAATAAAGCTTTTCAAGAGGCATCTAAGCCCCTCAATATTCAGCTGTCTTATTCTCCTCCTTCCATCCTCAGGATGCCCCCCAGGCTGAATCTGATGTTCATGACTCCCAAGCAGGGTTTAGACCTTCCCTGCACACCTGATGGCATATGCACTACACAGGGCACTGTTTTGTTTTCATACTTTATGGAAATAGTATCTTCCTGTACGTATCCTTCTGCAATATGCTTTCCATGCAACATCGTTTTGAGGTTTATACATGTTGATGCTGTTTATCCATTCTTCTGTTGATGGGCATTTTGGCTATTTCCAATTGGTGGCTTTTTGCTATTGCAGACAGCATTGCCAGAGAACATTCTTGTATTTGCCTTTTTGGTTACATGTTGGGAATTTCTTGGAGGAACACACAGAGGATTTGACCTGCTGGGTCATAGGAAATGCATATCTTCATTTTCCCTGATGCTACCACATTGCTGTCCAAAAGGGTTATTCCAATTTACACAGCCCAGATGTGGAGTTACTGGGAAGCTTATGAAGTTTAATTGTTTTTATTGTAAACATTGGTTTATAACATTATATAAATTTCAGGTGTGCATTATTATATTTTGGTTTCTGTGTAGTTACATCAGGTTCATCACCCAAAGACTAATTACCATACATCACCACACACATGTCCCTAATCACCCCCTTTGCCTTCCTCCCTCCTCCTTTCCCCTCTGGTAACCACCAATCCAATCTCTGTCTCTATGCGATTGTTTGTTATTGTTTTTATATTCTACTTATGAGTGAGATCATATGGTATATGACTTTCTCTCTTTGACTTATTTCACTTAGCATAATACCCTCAATGTCTATCCATGTTGTCACAAATGGCTGGATTTCATCGTTTCTTATGGCTGAGTAGTATTCCATTGTGTGTATATACCACATCTTCTTTATCCATTCGTCCCTTGATGGGCACTTAGGTTGCTTCCAAGTCTTGGCTATTGTGAATAATGCTGCAATGAACATAGGGGTTCATGTATCTTTACGCATTTGTGTTTTCGTGTTCGTTGGATAAATACCCAGCAGTGGAGTAGCTGGATCGTATGGTAGTTCTATTCTTAATTTTTTGAGGACTCTCCATACTGTTTTCCATAGTGGCTGCACCAGTTTGTACTCCCACCAGCAGTGTATGAGGGTTCCCTTTTCTCCACATCCTCTCCAAAACTTGTTTCCTATCTTGTTAATTATAGCCATTCTGACAGGCTTAAGGTGATATCTCATTGTCGTTTTGATTTGCATTTCCCTGATAATTAGTGGTGTTTAACATCTTTTCATGTGTCTGTTGGCCATCTGTATATCTTCTCTGTAGAAATGTCTGTTCAGATCTTTTGCCCATTTTTTGATTGGGTTGTTAGTTTTTTGTTGTTGAGATGTATGAATTCTTTATATATTTTGGATATTGACCTCCTATCAGATATATGGTTTGCAAATATCTTCTCCCAATTGTTAGGTTGTCTTTTCGTTTTGTTGATGGTTTCCTTTGTTGTGCAGAAAGTTTTTAGTTTGATATAGTCTCATTTCTTTATTTTTTCTGTTGTTTCCCTTGCCCGGTCAGATGTGGTACTTGAAAATATGCTGCTAAGACTGATGCTGAAGAGCGTCCTGCCCATGTTTTTTTCTAAAAGTTTCATGGTTTCAGGTCTTACGTTCAAGTCTTTAATCTATTTTCAATTAATTTTTGTATATGGTTTAAGATAATGGTCTACCGTCATTCTTTTGCATG